ATTAAAGTTTAAACCATAATCCACAGGTTGCTGTTCTTTAAAAGTATCATTTTTAATATTTCACTCAAAATATGGGCTTAAAAAAAGAAATACAAAGACCTCAGAGACATTCTGGACAAAAAAAAACCAAAACACCCCCAAAAAAACCCAACTAAGAACCCAGAAGGTTTTAAAAAGACAGTAAATGAGAATGTGACTATGAACATTCTAGAGAAGAAAAATAGAGAAAGGAAAGGAGACTAGAACAAGCTGCTTGAATAACAACTGTGCACACCTCCCAGGAAGGTGCTTGGGAGGCCTCCAGTCTTCAAAATCATGGGAACCAGAGGGAGAAAAATAACCTCATGTCTGTAGTGATGGCTCCAACTCACATATACATACCCACTTCTATGTTTATACTCTCATCTGTGCTCCTGGCTCCTCACATTACTCTCACGTGTTTATAGTCATATATATGTGTGTATTTACCTTAACTTGATAGTTACTCTTCACATAATCTTTTAAATACTTCCTGAAAAAAACTTGATTCCCTTGTTCCTATGAGCCAGTTTAACATTAGCATAGTTGGAAGGTGAGGGCAGAGAGAATATTTTTAGTGTGCTTCTAGGCTGAAACTTTGAATCTTGCTCGAATGAATGAAATGTACAATTCTAATTTTAAACTTTCAATAATGTCACCCTGGTCCCTGAACATTTAGATATTGCTGAAAATACTACTCTTAGCAAGGAACGTGGTTGTGGTTTGTTTGTGGGTTTTGGTCTTTTTTTTAATCTTGGGTTAGTTTAAATACTACACAGTTTCTGTTGCTTGATTTCATAGATAATATTAAGGAGAGAAATCATGAATCCAGACACTCCAGCAACTGCTTTTTGAGAACCTATGTGCAGGCAGGGTGGCTGAGGCAGGCTCTCCATCCAGCCATAGAGAAAGAAACAGGCTTCCAGCTGGCTGAGAGAACAGGCTTCTCTCCCTGTGGCTTTCTTCCTCTGCTGGCACCATCTCCAGCTTCTCTGTGCTTGAAACCAGCAACCACGTGGCTCTGATGTTGCATTGCAAAAGGATGATTCAAATTTTACTGCACTGAACTTGCAGGGCCAAACTTTGGCACCCATCCTTGGTGGGAACAGCTACAGCCAGCCCCATACAGGATTGATGTGAAGTGCAGCACAGGACCTTTTATAACTCGGTGGTGTCAGAGAAACAGCTTAGCAAGGGAAAAATGCCAGTGGCCTTGTAATCCCAATACTTATTAATAATATGTAGTAATACACAAAAGAATTAACAATAACAGGTGCAAGAAATATTACTAATTTATTAGTGGGAATGGCAAATCCTCTCCTTGAAGCAGTCTGGAAGTTTGAGCTATGACAGGAAGGAAGTACTCTGCACTGATCTTAGGAGAAAATACACCCTACTTTTAAATTTTTCTTTTTCTTTTTTTTTTTTTTCCAAACGTGTGGACAGGAAGAAATGCTTAGTTATGTTTTCTCTTTGCTTTGCATTCTGTATCTTCACGATGGTGCATTAAGGTAACAGTGTGATGTGCTGCAACCCTGGGAGCAGCACTAATGTTATTAGAAATAAAATGTTCTAAGGATATTATCAAGACAATTTCTGCAGGGACAATTAATATCCTTTAGCACACCAGCTCACATAAAAATTACGTGCAGATTGAGAACAAAACTGCTACAATGAGTTTAACACGACAGTGTTAATTGGTTACTCAGTTTGAGGGGAAATGGTGCCTGTTACCTGTCAAGCCAGGAGAGGAGACCTTAGTGAAAAATAAAGCATTTTCCCCATTTGTTATGGGATCTTTATTGCCCATGGAAGGTTGAGTTGGGTGTGGAAGTGTTCCCTAGGATGTTTCACAGCAGATGAAGGGGCAACCAGAGGAACATGGCCACAGCTTGTTACCTACTGCAAGGAAGTGTGAATAGAAAACAGAGTACATGTGCCTCATATTAGCCATAATGTGAAGGACAATTGATTTGTTTAGGAGAGAGAAAGTGCCTGAAAATTCCCCAATATCATGCAGGGCCCTGACAAAATCTGATCCTTGGGAGGCAAGTGGAGGTGATGAGCCTGCTTGAATATAGATGAAACACATTCCCCAGAACCCTGTTGGAGGAATTATCCCTCTCATTTCTTCTACCACTGTAATTCCACAAAACTGAGTGAGTAGGAGCTTTCCCAGATTACTGAGGGTTTAACTCTAAGAAAAACAGTTCAGGTGGTTGGTTGGTTGGGGGATTTTAATGGCATTTTAAACCAAATCAACTTGTCCATGGTTAGTATTCACTGATCTTCCTGGCTTGAGCTGCTTTGGGGAGCAGCTCTGCAGAACAAGTCTGAGTGGGACCTTTTTTACAGTCTATCACTGCTCTGAATATATGGACTAAGGTGTGTAAAAAACAAGGTATCAAGTAAATTGCTGGCTTATGTATTTTATTATTTTTAGATGAACACAGCACCAGAGGTACATGTTTGTTTCTGTTTTGCCAAGTACTAATTATAATTGCCAAGGTTAAAAGATGGAGACAACTTTCTTCCTTCTCTTCTATAGCAACACTATTTAAGAAAGAAAAAACAGTGACTGAAAAGAAAAATACTTTGATTCATCTTAAAGACTCAAACTGATATCAGAAGTCTGTAACAAATTCTTGTTTAGATTTGATTTAATGAAACTAAGGATTTTAATAATGTTGCTTTTAAAATCAGAAAATCCAGCATTTAAGGTTGTTCTTCCATAGTGAAAAAAGTATATGAAAGAAGCAGCTGGGCTTCACAAAAAGAGGTACTGTACATAATGTGAAGCTCAGGCTTTTCTTTCCAAACTCAGTCATTTTATACAAAATCAGAATCAAATTTCATCAGTCCCAGTAAGTATTTGAGAGATCCTTCCATATTCCAGCCTATTACCACAAGTTGCCTCAAGGCAATCCTTTCCTCTTTACTGTAGCCTGTAACTGTTTTCAAGCATGCAGAAACTGAATTGCTGTAAAACTGCATTACCCTGTCACAGGTTTGAAATCCTTGGGAAAATTGTGACAGCTTTACACCTTAAGTTATTTAAAATATTCAATGTTTAAAAGGTTGGTTTTGGTGGGTTTTTTTTTACAATATAAAGAAAACCCATACCAAATTATTCATAAAACTGTAAGAACCACTATAAAAATGTCATCATCAATCAATAATTAGTACACACACACATATACACATATATATATGCATGATTTATGTCTTGTTTAAAGATAAGGAAATTCTGTATGTTACAACAGACTACTGGGTTTTTTAATGTAGTTCAGTATCTTCAGGGAGTTCTCTAAAACACATACTCTATAATAGGACAGCCAATATCTATGACTAAGGCTGGGTTAAAATTAATTGCCTGACATATGAACCAAACTGACTCAACAGTGATGTGAATCCTTCAGTGCTCCACTGTGCTGCAGTGACCTACACTCCTGCCAGAATCCCTAAAATATTGGCTTAACACTGAACACGCAACCATCAATCTTGACTCTCTTGACCCTTCCCCAACATTTTTTTTCCCTCAGTTCTCTTCTCATTTGTATCCCTGGCAGAAAGCATAAATTGTATTAGCATAGAGAAGCTCATGAAAAGCCCCAACACACCCCACAAAAACAGCCCCTCCTCCGGTCAGAAAAATCAAATCAAACAATTAAAAAAAACCCTCCAAGTGCTGCTATGGGTATAGCTGAGATTTCCTGCGTGACTCTCTGGGCTTATTGATCAGAGGCTTGAACTTTTCACCCCTTTTGGTAGCACGGGCTTTGTGACGGCCGCAGTGCGAGGCTGCCTGCCCGCGGCTGTGAGAACAGCTGACACGAATCGCGCAGCTCCTTCCCCGTTCACGTTTGCATGCTTAGAAGGCTGCTGTGATCACACAGCCTTTTTTCACTCGCAATAATCCAACCGCTGCGATTTACACAGGCCGTGCAGAATTCAGGCTCCACGCAGGGCACAAGCACGGAGCTCGGAGCAGCAGCAGTGTCCCTCCAGCACTCGGAAAGCTCATGTCCTGACACAGGGGCTGAGTGAGCCTAGGGAGCCAGGAGCGCTGCGCTAGCCACTGTGCTGGGCTCAGCAACAGCAATACCCAGAAAGTTGCTTGGTGCCATTTTAATGGAATTGGAAGCCGCGAAGCCAGGGAACCGGCAAAAGAAACACTGCGGGAAGGCGGCAAAGCCGAAATCTCTGTGCATGCTCTGTGTTGGAATATACACAGCGGTGAGACAGCACAGCGCATCCGCGGCAGGGTCCCGCTCCATGGCTCCTGTGCAGTGCTCCTTTACTCTTCAGGACTGTCGGCAGAGGAACCCCGGTCCCGGCAATGGGAATCGGAACATGGTTTGGGTTGGAAGGGACAGTAAAGATGACCAAGTTCCATTCCCTCTGCCGTGGGCAGGGACACCTTCCACTACACCAGGTTGCTCCAAGCTTCATCCAACTTGGCCTTGAACACTTCCAGGGATGGGGCATCCATAACTTCTATGTTACAGTGCCTCACCACCCTCACAGTAAAGAATTTAATCCTAATATCTAATCTAATCCTACTACCTCTCAGTTTGAAGCTATTGCCCCTTGTCCTGTCACTCCAGGCTCTTGGAAAAGGTCCCTCTCCAGCCTGTGTGCTCCCTCCGGGCACGGCCGTGCTTAAACGACATGTGCTCAGCACACGCACACCCAGCCCCTGCGGGGTCCGTGTCCGATCCGTGCCGGGGCTGCTCAGAGCCCGCAGGCACCGAGAGCCCCGAGCGGACCCCGGCGCTGGGCAGGGCACCGGCAACAGCAGCCACCGCGTCCCCGCCGCCTCCACAGCGGAAGCGGCTGCGCCGGCGGAACGGGGCGGACGTGACCTCACGGCACGGCCCCTTCCCAGCCCTCCTGGGCACGTCGGGCCGCTGCCGGTCGGCGGTGGAGGAGGAGGAAGGAGGAAGGCAGGCGGGATCCGGGATGCTGCCGGCGCAGCTCGGGCGCGCGCCGCGGCACCTGCTGGTGTGCGAGCGGGGCCACGCGCGCCACCCGCGCTCGCGGCACGCGGCGCACGTGCGGGACCACGCCTACAGCTGCCGCGTGAGTGGCGCGAGCGCGGGCCCGGGGCCTCGGCGGGATCCCCTCAGGGAAACGGGAAGGGGAAGGAAAGGGAAAGGGAAAGTCAGAGCTGCCTGAGGCTCCCACGCCGCCCGTCCCCAGGAGCTCTGTCCGCTCCAGGGCAGCGTTGCCGGTGCCCCGCTTGTGCCGTGCTCAGTGCTCCGGGGGGCTCCTCCGTCCTTGCCAGAGCTGACCCGCGCGCCTCGTTTTTGGGGAAGAAAAAAAAATAAAAAAGCAAATTAGCCCTCCCTCTGTGTTTGTGGTGTCGCGCAGCATGGGAGAAACACCCAAACTCTTTCCTTCCTCCAGGAGCGAAAGAGCGGGCAGGAGAAGCGAGAGGAGTGACAAATCAAGCACACCACCTATCAAAGCTTTTGACTGTTTATATATTTTAGCAAACAAAGGAGTTAGTGTTCATTGGCTACAAGTTACATAGTTCTCGTATTAATTAGTTTCTGTTGGTTAATGAGTCTCCCATGCTGATTAATCCCCACGCTCAGTCCTTCTCAGCTTAGGAGTCAGGGGGTTCCCGGGGTCGGTGGTCCCTGAGTTGGTGGCGGTGATCTCCACCTGCCGGAATTTCCTTTTATCCACTCAGAGCTGATTCAGCACAGTTTATTAAGTTCCTTATCTTGGGAATTCTGCCAAATATCCTTGTGGCCCATATTCTGCACCCTTTCTGCCCACTATCAGTGGTACATCCTTCTCCCCGAGCTTTGTTGACATCACCCTAGGTCTGACATGTCTGAAGCATATCCAGCCCTAAACTTTAACAAAGAGACCTGGACTTCTTCTAGGGCTCTTGTTTCATGGATTAAATCTTCCTTCTTGTTGATAAGGCTTGAAAGTGTGCAAGGACCAAACATCAAAGAACATCCTTCCTTAAGAAAATTTTTAGGTATTCCACGTTTTGCAGCAATCAGGCAGGATCCTGTTTCATAACCCCCTTCTCATTCCCTGTAACTCTCTGGGCTAATTGTTTACTGTTTCTGACTTCTGAGACGTTTTTTAGCAGCTAATCAGAAGGCTTTCTGCTGGTGTGGAAGGCAGCTTGTTTGTCAATCCTTACTTCTCTTGAACGCATGTGCCAAGTGAGATAGATACCTCTTTTCCAAGAGCTTTGAGAAAGACGTTTTTTAAGGGATGGAGGAAGGAGCAAGGGGACAGACCTTTATGCTGCTTGGGAAGCTTCGTACTTGCCCATGTACTGCTTGCCATGTATTACCTTGTTTTACCTGGTCTGGCAGACTTGAGGGTTCTCTTGGTCTATGGAAAATGTACAGGAAATCTTTTAAGCAAAAGGTAAATTAAAGGTTCTACTTTGATCTTTGCTTTTCCACTAAGATTACAGAAATGCTTAGCCTACATTTTTAGTTACAACTGCTTCAACAAGTACTCCAGCAAGGGCTGAAGGAGGTGTCCAGTGTGACATCAAGCTAAATGTATAGTGATGTGAAACAAGATCTTCTGTTAACTCATGCTGTGTAAGATCACAATACATCAAATGCTATTGTATAGCAAAAAAACCAAACCAAAACAAAAAAACCACAAACCCAAACCACCAAAGAATGTATTTGTTGTACATAGAGACTATGAAAATTGATACATTTCAAAGGCCTGATATTCCTTTTTTTTCCATCTCATTTTGATATAAATTACGGATACATCTTTGAAAAGTAGAGGTTTTCTTTTGTATTTCTTGTTGTTTTATTTGGTTGGGTGTTTTTCAGAGCAGGTTTTAGGGTAGGATTTACATTTCAAATATGTTCCTAATAGGTGTCTTTTCTGATCCCGGAATGTGGCATGCTACCTGAAGTGCTGAAAAGCACAATTGCAGATATTGGAGAGTACTACCTGGTGAGGAATTTACCCGTTCATGAATTGGTTGCTCATGAATTCATTGATGCTTTCGTGAAGAGAGGTAAGGAGGAAATAGGACAACAAATGAAGTCATAATGTACTTTTTTATTGCACAGTAAAATTTTTAATAGTCTTATTTATTCTGAAAAGTTTTAAAGGAAGGAAAGGAAAAGTACTAAGCAAATTCTGTATGAATTTGTTTATATGCTTTTTTCTGCTTTGTCATGTGTGACAACATTTGTTTACACCCATGGGATCCAAAACTCCTGTGATTCTTCCTTATAAATTTCTCCCTATTCCACCTCAATTCTGAAAGCCAGCTATCAAAAGGACTTCCATGTATCCTCACACCTGTTTCTGCTATAACTCACCTTTATGCAGATTCCTGTAGAAACCTTTCTTCTCCCTTTCTTGTTCCTTCATACTTCAACACAGAGCTGTGCTAAGCTATATTTCAGAGCAGGCAAGAGAATATACTTCCTTATTTTTTTTTCACTAAGAGAGCTGTGACAGCTCATCCTTACCCAGTAAGAGCAAAGAGGATGTGAAGAAAGACAGAGCCTCTGCCCAGCCACCTTGCTGTTTCCAGACCATGCTGTTTTCATCTAGCAGAGCCCACTGCTTTGGCTTATGATAGCTATTGTATCCTTCAGCTGATAGCCAGTGAGAAAAATAAATTACAGAGAAAAGAGAGAAGAACAGAGAACATGTAGATGAAACAGGAGAATAAGAGATCCATTATTTGCTAAATGTGGGACTCCTTTCTTATTTCCTTTAACTTCATTAATGATTTTTATGCTAGTAGTGTTATGGAAATAGTATAGCATTTGTACACACAGTACACAGCATCTGACACTTGTATTTTAAAAAAGAAAATTGATTAGTGGCAGATAATGTGACAAAAATATTTAATAATGTGAGCGTCTTCCACCTTGTCTTTGTGTGAACTGGTAATAAAAATATGTCTGGGAAGAAACTGAGTTTTCCGTTTGCTGACTAGGGAGAGTCAGGGGTGGAAGGAAAGAAAATGTTTTCATATTGGGGCTTATTAACATTTTCCCTATTATAGGTCCTTTAAAATATTGCTATAATAGGGTTTATAAAAATAATAACAATGCCATTTTGCTTGACAAGGTGGAAAAAAGTGGATGAAAACATGAGGGTGATTCAGATGGTGTTTATCATGTTTAGTTGTCTTGAAGTGAATTGTTTATCTTGTCATGTCTGTCTCTACAGACTGTGTAATCTCATGTTTTTCTGCTTTACTGTTAAAGGTTCATGCTACGCACTTTCCTATAAGACAAAAATTGATCAAGATAATACTGCAGCTCTGCTACCAAATGGTATGGGGGATTTGTTTTGGTTTCAGTCATACGTGTCAGTCGTGGTCTGGGTTTGTTTCTGTTTTGTTGTTTTTGTTTTTTCTTTTTTTAATTTGGAATGATGTAAACTGGAAAATAATGCTTACTGCACTTGCCAACTTTATTAGAAATTTGTGTGAATTGGAAAAAATACTAATTTTAGCTCTTTTTTTTTTCATTTGTGCTGTTAAATTATTTATTTCCTCTAAAGAAAATTATAAAATAATAAAAATCAGCTTCACGTATGTATAGCAGTTTGTCAATGCTTCAGCAATAATTGCAATTGCTACAGGGGGTTATTTTTGTGAGAACATTGCATTCCAACTTCTTGTTTCCTTCTGGTCTTTAAGACAGAATTTGTGCCAAAAAAGAAAGTTATCAGCACTGCTTAGAAGTGCTTTTAAAATATTTTTATTCTCATGAGACCCTACCTTGGGTACTTCATTCAGCTCTGGATCCCCAGCACAGGAAGGACATGGACCTGCTGGAGCAAGTCCGGAGGAGGCCACAAAGATGCTCACAGGGCTGGATCACCTCTCCTGTAAAGGCAGGCTGAGAGAGCTGGGGTTTTTTAGCCTGGAGAAGAGAAGGCTCTGGGTAAAATTAGAGCACCTGCCTGTACCTAAAGGGGACATGAAAGAGACCTACAGAGGAAATTTTTATAAAGTCATGTAGTAATAGGTCGTGGGGGAAACGGATTCAAACTGGAGGAGGGTAGGGTTAGATTGGATATTAGGAAAAAATTGTTTACTGAGAGGGTGGTGAAGCCCTGAAACAGGTTGCCCAGAGAAGCTGTGCCCTGGAAGCGTTCAAGGCCAGGTTGGATGGGGCTTTGAGCAGCCTGGTCTAGTGGAATGTCTTCCTACCCATGGCAGAGGGGATGGAACTCGGTGATCTTTACTGTCCCTTCCAACCCAGACTGTTTTCTGATTCTATGGGGATTCTGTGATTCCCTGAGAACTATCTAACATGTTAAAAGTCTGTTTCAATTGCATCACAGTTTTATGAGAAGACATCATAAAATGTCCCACATCTCAGGTGAGAAAATGAAGGTATTTTGAGCTTCAAGTACATTGTCTTATTTCTATTTAACAGTATGTAAGATATAATAGAAATACAAAATGGTCTATCTGCCCTGTAGCCTAAGAAGCTGTAATATGACAGATGCCCAAGATGGCATGAGTAAATTCAGGTTGTTCAGAAGAATTCTTTTATGTGTTTGTTAGCACTGTCCTGGCAAAATGGATACCTGATAGTGATGGAGTTCATGTGATACAGGTGTTACAAACTGTGCACAATTACTGCAGAGGCAATGTTACAGTTCCTGGTGATGTCACTGTCTGAACTCTTCCTCTGCAGTCTTATTTATTTGTGTTCTGTGCTGTTACTTGTGCAGCAGAACCCAAGGGCTGTGGTAGAGAGAGAGTTGTTGTGTGAAGCTCTGTACCAAGCAGCAGCAGCCAGATCTGGTTTGTGAGCACAGAAGCAGAGTTGTTCCAGCATGTATCAGCTCATCGCTAGCAAGCATAGTTTACTCAGTGTGGCTTGGAGGAACTGCTTTTGTTTATTTAGTTGAGCAGTGCATGTTGAGCATGAATGTTCACTAAATCAGGCCCTTGTGCAATGTAGTGCTCAGCTAATGACACAGCAAGTACTAGAGGATGAGTGGAGGAAAGATGGAGACAATGAACTGAGCAGTACAGTAAAAAAGCTGTAATTATCTCAGGAATAATATTATGCTTTTCTTATTCTAGTTCACAAGATCTCTTTGATAAGAAAAGAATAATTGAGTTATAACCTTTTTTTTTTAAAGGATTAATCTGGTAATCCATTTAACTGGAACTAAGGAGTCTTCATTACATTAGTAATACCATTGATCTGAAGCTAACGTTGTAAAAGGTATATGGTTCTTAAAAGACTTCAAAGGGAACCAAGTAGAAGATTATTTCTATTAAAATTTGGTTTGTTTATAGGTAAACTAATTCTGTCAGTGGATAAGGATACTTATGAGGAGCTTGGACTGCAAGGTCGGCCTTCTCGGTATTCAGGAAAAAAAGTAATGAGATATAGTAAGTATGATTTATATAAACAGGGCTTATTTAAGAAGCACCTTGTTAGGATGTTGAAACTTCCCTTTCTCTAAAAGTAGTTATTGTCTAGGTTATATTTGCACAGATGCGAATACAAGGAATGCCTGAAGAGAGAAAGTAAAGCAGCTTTAAGGACGCAAATACATAATCTTTTCAGTACTCTATAAAATAATTAATTTCAGGGGTTCTCATTGTGTTGTTTGTACTGGAGTGAGGTAGGACTCGGGAATTTTTGCATACTCTGCATAGTTTCTGTACATTCTGATTTAAGTCAGAAAATTTTAAACTGGTCAAGGAGGTATGTAAAATTGTATGCACTATACAAAATCAGTGATTAGCCTCACCCAAGACTGCTTGCTTGAAAGGGAGAATTGTACTATGTTTCACACATTTAAGATGGTAATCTCCATGTATCATGTACTTGGAAAGCATTCTTTTTTTAACAGCTGCAGAGGAGACATCTTAAGTGTGATTTTTATTAGTTTGTCTTTTTCAGAAATAAAAAACCCAAACATGAACACTGTGTCATCTCAAATGTATTGGAACTTGCAGCAGTTGATAGGTATAGTTACATAAAACGTTTAGGAGGGGAAACTTATTATCTCTATTAAGTATTTTGGCATAATGGGACATCATTTTACCATTCTGATCATTAAAATGTATCATGAAATTTCCATTTGAAAAATAAATATAGTTTATCCGTGGGACAATTCACGTAGGGAAAAAAACCAAACTATTGAAAAAGTGTCATTGCTGTATGCATGACTTTTGTTCTTAGAAATTCTAGTTTTGGTTTTTGTTTTGTTTTATTTTACTGCTAATAGCTCACCCAGTTACCAAGATATTTTTAAGGCACTGTTCAGGGACTAATGTCAGTGCCATTTCAGGAGGAATCTGTCCCTCTAGTCGCTAGGAAGCAGTTCCAGATTATATCAAAATAAAGACAGCAGGAGAGAATATTTATTTACATATTGAGCAGTCACATTTGCATAATCAAATACTTTGTAAAGATTCTGTAGATGTAAAGAGGAATTTTAATGTTCTTTCGTTTCTTTGTGCTCTTCTAATTTAACAATAAAATTTATTTCAACTGAGTACCAATAGCTATTGTGCATTTTCTGCAGTTGTCACTATTGACTTGACTGATGCTGGCTTTCACCCTGAAAGCAAGAAACATAACAGAGTGCTTTGGGCGTTGAAAGAAAAGAAACCTTTAGAATTTGACTTCCTACTGGCTTGGTATAATACAGGTAATAAGAACTACATGTAAAACTAAAATGCAACTGATATGAAGTCCAAATATTTTTAGTTTACTGTTTTTCTCTAGTGATTGTCCAAATGCATTTTCAGTGGAGGGAAAAGTTAGATTAAAATGTATATGGGTGGGATTTTTTGTTTGTTTTGTTTATTTGTTTTGGGTGGGGAGGGTGTTACTTCCTGTGCACAGAACATCTCAGTTCAAGAACACAACAGTGATTCATAGGAGATATATTAGTTGCTTCATTTCTTTTCACTATGTTGCCAAGGCTTTCTGGCAAAACTTTGCCTATTTGATGGTGCTTTGATGCCTCTTCTCTATAAATTTGTGGCATACATAGCCATTATCAATACCTTTCTTTGGTTTGTTTGTTTTTATTTATACACATAAGTTATGTATCTGGTTGCATACTTAGGGAACTCTGGTTTCCTCAGGAGTCAGAGGACTTGTACAGATTCCCTGTTTGCACTGTGTGTGCTGTGTGCCCAGATACAGAGTGCTGTTTGATCACTTTATTCTCAAGCACTGCTTGAGGTTGGAGCCAAGTAAAAGGTTGCTATAAGAAATTGTACTATTTCAAATAATCTTCTAGTATTTGTTCATCTACTGTTTTCTAATTACACTATTTTTTTTCCTAGACCCAAGTGTTTTTCCTTCTCTGAGGGAAATTTTTCAAAGTCCCCAGTTGTTTATATTACCTCAGAACAGGCTGTATGTAGGGATATGTAGCATTTGCATAGAACTGATTAAAACTGCAAATGTCTATACTGAAAAACATTGCTTTTTTCATCACAGATGTGTAGTTTTTGGTGTTGTTTTTGCTTTGAGTCTCCACACTTGGGAGAAGGGATATTAGAAAGGTTCCTGAGAATGCTTTCCCATCTCCTCTTTATATTGTTATTTTTCATTGCTCTTCAAGGCCAAGTCTGAGAAGGAGTTAACTGATCTGAGAAATGGAAGCTGCTTACAAGCTGCTTCAGGAGTGTCCCATGTTTCACTTTATTCCTTCATGTTTCCCCTCCCCCTTTCTAAGTACTAATCATATGACAAGGATCCATATGACACTTGTTTGTCATACAGAAATTGTTTAAAGGCTTGCAATTCCCGTCCTTGTAATCTTCAGGAAAGAGTCACAGTGAAGGCTGTTGCTACCATAAATGGTGACATAAATCCAACTGAGGTGGCAGATCTTCACGCTCAGCTTGCTTGGATTTATTGACCCTGGACAGAGAGCAAAATGCCTCGAGGGCCACTATTTTTCTTATGTTTGCTGCTGCCCATGTTAACAGCATTCAGGAAGAATAGCAATTTTTTTCCTCACTTTCTTACATCCCAAAAACAGGTCAGGTCAATCATTTCCTGAATATGGAGTTAAATGTGAATGCCTTTCTGTGCAAGTATCTAGTGCTCATAACACAAAAAAGACTATTAGTTCCTTAGTACTGACAAAAATAAAACTTTTATAGGTTTTTATTAATAGATACGAGACATTGTGTAGATTCTACTGGAAGGGAAAAAGTGGGCTGTGTTTTGTCAAGGGAATCTGTGTCCTCTGTGAACATTCTGCTTTTGCCTTCCTGCTGAAAACTGGTGTTTCTTGCTGTGGTCAGCACTGCAGGATTTTTGGTTTTCATACCCAGTTTTCCCACATTGGGGTTTTGGCACCAAGAAGAACAGGAAAAGGCAATATGGAGCATCTCATGTCTTTAATGACAGAGGCAATACAATCTTTTTTCTATTGCTGCAGTTTCTATCACGATTTTACATGTTATTGGATGAAATTCAGTGGCCCCTGAAAAGCTTTGATGATGTGCCTGGTTGTTGTTAATATAGAAAGGTGTGCTGTAGCTAGAGGAATTGTTCTGTTCGGGTCTTGACTGTAGTCTTTGAGATTTCCTGTATTTAGGGCTATAGCTGAGGTTCTCACATGCAGCAGACAAGTAATACGTACGATTTTCTATATTTTACTAGGAATTCTAGGGCAATATTATACATGATTTGAACTCTTTAGGCTTACAAATGCCAATAGAATGTAAGGAAAATCATCTCTTCTGGCACTCTTCAGACTTATATCTATATAAAAATACTAAAGTAAGAAGAATTCAGTGATTGCCTGTCTTTGTGCCCTTTGGAACAACACTTTTTTGAAGAATGACTAAAGAAAATGAGCTTAACCCTCCTTCTACTCCCCTAAATGATTGTCCTTGATGACATAAATATGGCTGGTAGACTTTAGGCAGTCCATATTTTCTGATAGAAAATTTTAGATAAAATATTCCACAGTGAACTCTACCCTATTCTTGAATTTCTGCTCTTTACACATGCCTTTTCTGTGGTATTTAGATGTTGCTCTGCACTTCAGACTTTTCATGAACAAGGCATTATCTCTTGGTCTCTTAGACACCCATTGTTCCTTTTTGAAAATAACACACATTATCTGGAATCTGAAATTTAGGAGAATTTATTCCATGTCAATTACCTTTCTGCTTCCAAAGCAAGTTGGTAATGTCTCTGAATTTAAAATATGCCTGCTTAGGTGAGTTTTTTGGTCTAGGTACCTGCTGTTTTGGATCTCCTACTAGTACTTTCCCACAAGTCCTTCAAGGTACATTTAACTCTTAAAGCCATACTGCATTTGAAGAGTTATCAGGGAGAGGGGAGCAGGGGTGAGTTTATTCTTCTAGTAAAGTGGCGTTTGTGATGTATTTTGATTTCTTTACCCTCTTCTCTTTCCTCTCTCTTCAGTCCTTATGCTCCAGATTATTCTGGAATTTCCCTTGATATCATTGATAAATCTGTTCTTAAACCTATAATCACATGCTCACTTTTCCATTATTCAGAGAAAAGGCTGTTCTGAGGTGATGTTCCTGCTCCATTTTATCTGTTCCTTTTCAGGAACACTGAGTTCCTCTTTTTAATGAGCTGATGTTATTACTCACGCAGTTAATTCTGCTTAAATTTTCTATGGGCAAATCTACACATTGTAGTTAGATAGCAAATTTGCTGAGCTGTACTAAGTTACTGAGTCTTGCACTAACTTTTATTTCCAAGAAGAAAAGGAAGCTGAAGATTCTAAGGTTTTGCCATGGATTAAAAGCACACAAGCAGTTTCACATGCATTTTTTTTGTTTATATACAAGTGTTTCATGTATTCACTGCCTCTTTTGTTTAGTAGTTTCATAACAACTGTTTGTGGTACTGTGTTGTTAAGGTGCAGAGGGATCAACACTGATGTCATACTTTTCAAAAAACCAAATACAGGCCCTGAAGCCAAAAATAACATTCAGCACCTTAAGGGACTTGCAATGTCCAGTGTTGCAAAGTAATGATCTACAAGGAAAACCAGAGGAGTCCTGCAGTACAGAGGAGCTCTTTGAATGGCTGGGTGCTGTCTTGAATCAAGTTAGCTTGTAAGTACTTGAATTTGTTTGATCTTTGAAAATGTTTTAAGTAAGGAAAGCCACAATTTATTTTAAGAAATAGCTGAATAATAATGAAGACAGACACTGTTTTGTAAGTGGGAGTCTTTTATGCAGTCAAAGGTTTGTTTTCTGTCTTGAATGACTTTATGTTTTTAGGGGCTACCCATATGTACTGGATTGCACTGGGATAATTTTCTTTGTAGTAACTGGTGTGGTGCTGTGCTTTGGATCTCTGACCAAGAGTGTTGGTAACAGGGGATGTTTTAGCTACTGATGGGCAGGGCTTGCACAGTCTGAAGGCCTTTTTCTGTCTCTCCTACGCCCTGCCACTGGGGAGGCTGGGGGTGGGCAGGAGGCTGGAAGAGAACCCAGCCAGGACAGCAGACCCCTCTGAGCAGAGGGATATCCCATACTGTGGGATATGGTGACAGGCTCAGCAGCAAAAGCTGGGGCAGGGATGGGTGGGAAATGTTTGGAGTTGCATTGTTTGACTTCCCAAGTCAGCTAGAAGGCCTGCCTTCCTGGAGATAGCTGCACATCTACCTGCCCATGGGAAGTAGTAAATTAATTCCTTTGCATGCTTTGCTTTCATGTGGAACTTTTCCTCTGCTTATTAAATTGTCTTTATCTCAACCCATGCTTTTTCTCCCATTACCCTTTCAGTTTCAGGTGGGAGTGAGTGAGGGAGCAGCTGTGTGGTGTTTGGGTGTTTACACGGTTAACCCACGGCACCGTGAGATCTTTTGTATTATCACTTGATCTTTAGTTACTTTGGCATTAGTTTAGGTGATGCACATAGATCCTACTTGTTTGGTACAAGTTCTGATTACTAAGACATCCTATGGAATATTTAAAGCATATTTATTTCAATTGCTTTATTGTTTTTTCTTCCAGAGACAACAAATCCTCCAGCTTCTTATCAACCTATTGCTGCCCTGAGCCCAACACAGTGGTGGAAAAAGCTTTTTTGTGCACAATCACAGGCTTTATAATTCCTGAGAAGATTATTCAGTTATTGGAGCAGCTGTGGTAAGGGCTGACAGGAGCACATTGCTATAACACTTGTACTCAAACACTGCTTACTTGAAATCACTTTTAAATACTTTTCAGTTGGAAATAAATAGCAAAATATATAAATGTAAACTTTTGTTTTAATTAGGAAATTAGCTGGAAGCTTGGCATCAGTATGAAAAAAGTAATAGACAATTTTGGATGCCTTGAATTTGAAAAAGCCTGCCCTGTATTCTAGTCATGACTGGTTTTTATCTGAATTTCTAAGAAACTGTGGCTGTATGGTACTCCTACATTTTTAAAATGAGGAGTGGATAATATCTGGCTTTGATTATTAATAATCTGTTTCCTCTCTGGTGGTGAAAGTATTTGGGTCAAGCATAGCCTTAGACTGTATTACTTCCTCCAATGTCTTTTTTCTTCCCTGATAGCAATTATTCTCATTAGATGTTCAATTTTATGAAAGACAGTGCATGCTGTAGGGAAGTCAGAACAGCTACTTTACAACTTAGAACATTTTCTAGTTGCTACAACTTGCAGGTTTGCCATGGATAAAACTATGGTAGGAATAATAGATAGTCAATCTTACTTTGTTACCTAATGTATTCTGAATATTTTCTTTCAAGTTTATTTATTATGGACTAAACTTTTTAACTGTTAGAAAATTTTCACTAAAGTGTGTCTTTGATTGTTTTACTTTATACTGTAGACTTGAATGTGCTGCCTATTCCATTATAATCACTGATGATCTTGTCTTCTTACTTGCAGTTGCTATTTTAGTGAACCAAAACTGGCATATTGGCTGACCTTAACTGTGCATGGCTTTGCAGACAGCCCTGTTTCCTGGAGAGAAAATGAACATGGTTTCCATAAAGGAGGAGAGAACCTGTACAACTTTGTAATTTTTAGAAATCTGGACTACTGGCTTCAGATGGCCGTAGGAGCTCATGATGATTGCCCTCCATAAAGCTGTGTCCACAGGAGAAGTTCTCAAATAATCCCTTGTTACTGACAGAAAAATAATAAAATATTTTTTGTACAAATAGTAATGTAACAGATTAAGTACTAAGAGTCTGTTCATGTTTTTGTTATTTGTAGCCAATGGAAGGAATGGATTTTTGTTTCTTCACTGTCATGCAATGCCTTCTGAAAAACTTCACAAAACTTCACAGCTTTTAGGAAAAGTTAAATTGTAGAGGGTTTTTCTCAGGAATTGACTGTAGGTAGTCCTCTTTTCCAGGAGCAAATTTGGAATTTGAAAGTTAGCTTTACAGATTGCTAGCTAAAATATTTGACAGAAAAGCCCATTTGGGGATTAAGTGTTTTATTTCTTTACATCTGCAAAGATCTGCAAAACCTTCATATCCCTGTTTAAGATATTTTAGCATATGTGCTAGCAGAAAAACCAAAGGGGGATATGTGTTCTCCCTGATTTGGTAGGGGGTAGGAGAATAAAAGTGAAGAGAAGGTGGCACTGGGAGGAGCACCCATTAAACATGGAAAAAGTGAAGGCTTACTGACCTGCCCCCCTGATTTTGCAGATCACAGTTGGTTATCAGAGGTCTGCTTCTGACAGTGATGCAAAAGCCTGCTGCTTCCTTTCTTAATTGACCTACACACACACACACACACAGAGTCTCTACTGTCAAAAGGAGGTCCTTGCCTACAGGGCTGTTCATGGAGCTGAATCCTGCCGTGATGTTATTGCAGACACATTTCTGGGAAGAAAGCTGTGGACATGCCCTCACACAATGCCAATTGATGTGAAATAGGTTTCATTAACAATAAGTAGTAATGCTGAGAGCACAGGCAGCTGTAAAGAATCCATGCTACTCCTGTTGAAATCCATGGAAGGGTGGATGGTGGTTTGGGGAAGGCAGGATTTCTGGTTTATTTTAAGGAGTGGGTATGTATAATTAAAGTACCAATGCAGTGCTAAAATTGAAGTTGTTCACTTGATAGAGTGGCAGAGTGGTACTGGAAATTGGAGAAAAGCTGTAGTGGAAATAGGGTGAGAAAAGCAGAAAAACCATGGGAGGCAGCTAAGCTCTATAGTTATCTGTTTATTATTTCTCTTCAGTGAACAGAATCATGCTGGATGATTCACCAGGTGATATTTGTCTACCACACCCCTCCACTAACCATAACCCCCTTCTGCTCAAGTTCTGCTACGTGTCCTGCAAACACACCTCCGATGAATTAGCAAACAGTTTTCTAAATTATGATGTTGTTTGTCAAAACTGTTCTGCCATGAGAGGTTTCTAGCCAGGAGCAGAAGTTACATGTACAGACACAGACTCACACATTCATAAACTGAATAGACAATGGTACAAGAGTCTGGGGAAAATTCTTGCCTTGGCACATGACTGGGGAATGGTTAACATGACATGGTTGTGTTTCACTACTGTGCATCAGTGTGAAGGACTTGAGTTGTTGACTGAAGTCTGCTTTTGAAAGGGTCTGTTGAGTCATTATGGATTTTCTTAAAAAAACTAGTAACAAGAAGTATCTTCCTTTTTCCTCTTGACCAGAAGGTCAGGTTTTTACTTCAGCCTTCCTGGAAGTTACATTTGTAGCAAAAATTTGAATATAAAGTTAAAAATCCCAAATTTTTATGAAAATTTGAAGTTTGTAGCTTCAGAGCTACTAACTAGGTCCTGTGAATGTGATCATCTTTCTACTGGATTCTAGTAAAACCTTTTCCTCAACAGCGTGTATGTGGGCATGAAAGCAAGTGTAACATACACTGCTTGAGGGGAAAAATACTTCCCAGAAGTAAGAATATTGTATAGGTGGGTTTGCTTCCCATAGTTGTTCCAGAAGCAGCTGTAGGACCAGGTGAAGGGATTTTTCTAATAATTACTCGGTTGCAAGAGCAGGTTGGGCTCCTTGGTGGAGAACAAGCTGCAGAGGTGCTGGTGGGTACACAGTGATTGCCTCAGTGAGACCATTCTGGAAGGCAAGCTGAGAAAAATTATTTCAGCTCCCAGTTCTCCTCAGCATGTGAGTATTGAGATAATTTTTTTTTTTTTTTGTGGTTGTCTGGGATATCTCAGCAGGTTGGTCAATAGTTACCTTTGCCTCCTGAGTACATAGGAAATAAACTGCAAGCATTTCTCAAAGCTCAGTGTTGTAGTGGCTGTGCTGCATCCTACAGTCCATAGTTTTCTGCTGCTGGTGGCTTCAAATGGCTTCTCCAGCTAAGGAAGGGATTAAAATACTGTCTGTGAATCCTGCAACTTGAGATGCTGGGCTGCTTTCTAGCTTTCTCCTGTTATCTGTGAACCAGTGTAAAGTAAAATTGAAAAACCTCATGCTGATAAAATAGGCACTGCAGTTGGTCTGGTCTTAGGCTCCGTGAGGTGATACTGTGCTAACCAGATCCGTGCTTCTTAGCAAGGTCCAGTGTTGCACTCACCTCTAAGGAGAGAGGCTCTCCTGTGCTTGCTGGATTTTGTAGTTGCAGAGAAGAAAAAATGGGGTGGAATTTACTCCTATTTTACCTCCTGCAAAAAAAAAAAACGAAAAAAATGAATCCGAGGGAATATTTTTTCCCTGGGATGAGGTACAGCAGCCTGTTCTTTACCATCTGTACAGTCAGACAGAGCACTGTGTCTCCCCAGGAGACTCTCAAGCATGGAGGAGACCCTTGCTGAGGAGAGGAATGGGAAAGCATTGCTCACATGTTTGGGGATCCCCTTAGGAGGAAACATCTGAGGCTGAGCCAGGTGGGCAGTAGTTCAAGGAGGAATTGGGCAGGGCATGTGAGATGGAGATAAAAGTTTTTGCCTGAGAATGAAAAATGGTTGCTGGTGATGTTCTTGGCCTTTGTGCCTGCATGTAAGGGAGGACAGGAAAATGCAAAAGGTTCCCGAGAGCTGCAAAAGTAATGGAGAGCAGCTGTGCACCAGCTGCTTCTGAGATCAAAGGCGACTAAGTGCTTACTAAAAAATTTTACCTCAGGGGAGTGTTTTATCTAGCACGGGGAAGGAGAGCCAAAGATCTGAATGCAGAGACAAGCCTGAGGCAAGCAGCTTGTGTGAGAAGTAGAGGTTTTGTTGTCCTGGAATGCGGGCAGACGGTGATAAACCCTCCTCGAGAGCCAGGGAATTGCTCTGCTTTAACCTCAGCTTTTCTATTGAGCTGTGCAGTCCCGCCTCTCTGCTGGTGGACGGAGAGGGAATTTTGTTGAGAGGGGTAGCAGAACCCTCTGGAAATGGGCCCCAAAGACCACATGCATTTCCAGGCACACTGTGTTTGACTGTTTATGTATGTTCATAGATTGGTGGGTGTAGAACAAATAGAGGACAAATTTCCATTTTGACAAAGGGAGATTAAAGCTGAGGTACTTGAATAGCATAAGTTAAACAAAATCACTCTAAATAGAACATATCTGCCTCTTTTGGTTTGCAAATGCTGCCTGAATCAGACCTTTGTCTGGAGAAATAAAGGTATGTATCCCATAAAGACGTGCAACCCTTTAGGAAGAGAGGGAGACTAATGGTGGCGATAGTACCACCATTGATGGTTATGGGAAGAAAGGAATATTAGCATGAGAGAACCCTGAGAAAAGTTAGAGATCAGGATGTGAAAGAGAAATTTCTCAGATGCTGGAGCTGCTGTGGTTGCAGAGGGAAAATAGCACAGGTGGAGTTTGGGGAATGCAGGAGTGACAAGAACCTGTGCTCATCTAAAGCAGCTTGACAAGGAGGTGACAGAGCTTAATGAAAGAGAAACATCAGCTCTCTTCTGGTTGCATCATGCTGTCATTTACTGGGAAATAACCATTTTGGAGAGGCTAGTCAATATGTTAATTTGGATGAGGGGAAAAAAGCCAAGTTCACATCTCATCAGCCTGGGGTTTGCATAGCAATTATGGGAGCAAGGAAGGTTTCACAAAGATGGACCAGAATGCTCTTGTTGGAGGTAATTTGTGTGCTTTTATTATTCCTTGCTGCAGGCTGCCTGTCTTTGGTTTATAGAGAAGTTTTAGAAATGCCAAAAATTTACAGCCGTCTTGAGATAGGTCAGGTTCTGTTGCTGTTGATTGCAGTTAGCAGCTGGGCTGCTCACCCAGTGCTGCAGAGCCTCCGTGGAGTTTTGCTCATGCAGGGGGTGCCCCTGCTACAGCTAGTGCAAAAAGAAATGGGAAGGCAGACAAAAGATATGAAGGAAAAGGAGAACTTAGAGGGGTGTTTCTCTTCCCCCCTCTCATGGGAGGTGATAGCAAATCAGTGGCTGATCTGGGATTAGAATGAAGGCTTTTTGTAGCTAGTCCAGTACTCTAGCTACTAGATTATAGTTCCTCTGATGCTGTTAATTACAGCATCCAATTGACTCTGTCTTAATGTGGCAGCTACACTGGAACATGCTTGAACTGTTTCTCTTTATCATTTTTATTCACAGAGTGGAGCTTAAAGACCAAAGTAGGTCTATTAAATAACCACCAACTTCTGTAACAAGAACTTCAGAAATATCTACTACAAACTACGGCAACTTCTTATAAAGCAGTGGCCTCTGTTTCACCCTTGGAAGCAGCTTCCAGCACTACTGAACAGTACTTATTTTAATGCAGCTGTATACAGGAGCAAAAAGGGGGAGCTAAAGCGACTTTGAGCCGTTTTCAGCTTTCCAGAAAGTAAAGAGTAGGGAGCCTTGGCTAAGGCAAATTTCTTTCCGTTAGCTTTCTTAGAACAATTTAGTTATTGGAATATGGATATGTTTGATTTGGGTCATTGAAGAATATCCTAAGCAGTGGAAGAGGCTGTTCTGCACCCTCCTCACCCCACTGTAAAATATAGATAAATATTGCTATTAATATTATTGCTGTTAATGCTTAAGTCAGATGTCCAGGTTCTATAGATACCAATAGCCTTTCTGCATCAGTAGGGTTACAGAGAATGCAAAGGGACTAAGTTTTATTTTCTGGTTACTGTTGCACATTTACTGATTTGTCATGAAGACAAGTATTTCTAATTTTGTCATTGTTGAAGTTTTTATTCATTCCTGCCAGAAGAAGTATGCATTTTTAAAAGGCTTTATCTTGAGGCTCTACAGGAAGC